CCAATTGTTTTAAAAAGTTTTTTAAAAAGTTTTAAAACATCTAAAAAACTGTTTAAACCGTTTTTTTTCCATCCCTAATTATTAATCATATTTAAAAAAAATTTCTTTTTACGGCCTTAAAATAGTAAGTAACAATATTAATTCAGTAATTATTATTATTATTATTTTCTAACCTTACGGAGATATTTTATAAGGTAAAGTGATTTTATCACAAAATTCATGAAAGTATTACTTTCCAACTAATTTTGTTAGGCCTATATATCCAGCAAAATGCATTTCGACTTTAGACCATAGTGTACCAGTTGGATCTTCAAAGACACGAACGAGAGTTGTAATATTGCAAGAATCATTTTCAGTTAGATGGGATAAATAACCTATCCCGGTCGCATAAATATGTAAAGCCCCAATTAGGCTGTTTGGAATTGAAACGATAATATGCAACTTAAATATTTATTAAATCGTTTAATAAATAAATTTTTTTATCACATTTTACAATAATTAAATGGTATCCAAAATATTTCGTTCCATAAAATAAAAGCGAACTGCGCATTTATGAATTCCAAATAAATAGAAACTTTACTAAGATTAACATTAACGAAAGGTTAAAGTATGCCTAGATTTTTAGGATTAAACTGATTAGTTACTTGGTTGTATTCTGTTGTAACTACTTAGTGTTAAACTTTACGTACGTATGTGTGACTGTACCCTCTAAATTCAATTTCAGAACCTATTAACTTCCTTTCTGTGTTATTCCAATCGGTAAAATATCATGTATTATATTGGAAATCATTAATATTATGATATGATTTTGTTCACGACAGCTTCATCTATGAAATATACATTTATAAGTTTAAATTCTAAGATATCGTTTTAAAATATTTATGATCCATTTACGGTTGTAAGATTATCATTATTATTATTATTCACAGTCTCTTTTTATCGTTTAAGACATTCATAATTACTTAAATCAATAGGTTGAAATGTGCTAGGGATTAAATTTTAAATAAAAATATTTCAGCCAGTTAAATGCATTTATTATTAAGATAAACAAGACATGGAGTATGTAACTTATTATATCGAAAAATGTCCAGCGAGTTTTTGACAAGTTTTTTGCTTTAAACATGGACTGTGCAAAATTCTAATTATATGAATAAACATAATTATTTCTACCCATCTTTTTTCAGATTTGTTCTAATATACTTTAAATCCGAATTTTGCACAATAAGTTTTCAGCAAAGCGCTTTAATTAATTGCAATATCAACAAATCATATTGAGAAAGCTGCAATAGAGGCACTCTGGCTTATAGGTTGCAGTATGAAGGGAGTTATTAAGAGCGTTTACAAGTTTAATCCCAAGCTACATGTTATATATCCAATATTTGTAGATTTTGTAAAAAAAATTCTTTGCCGTGCTGGAAGCATGGGCTATACACTAGTATATATAATAAATATAATTATAGCAGAATATTTTTTTAATATTTTATTTAGTATAGCTAATAATAATAATAAAATAGTAAAAAATCTGTATAAATCAACACTAACTAATTACTATTAGATAACTAGATGTTATATTGTGCATAATAGCTATCATATATTTTCAAATATAAATATTTGGTCCAAATCAATTAAATTTCGATTTGATTTTGGACGTGGTGTCTAAAAGCCAAAACTGCTCAATTGCATATTTAAACTTTCTACTACCAAAATTTACTTCTATAGATCCACCTTGTGAACTCATTCCAACACAAGGAAACAAGACTCCTTCTACATTTCGAAATGCAGTACCTTAAAATTTATATTATAAAATATTAAACAAATGTATATGAATGATACAAAATAACAAAACTATAAAGTTTTTGCAATAGCTACCTAGGTTTATACCGTTTTTAGTAAAGAATATAGTGTTGTTTTTAAAATTTAAACAACACCCGATGGTATCGCCAGTAGAAAACAACGGTCCATAAAAATGGCCCCATCCCGAGCCGCAATAGATTCTGCCATCATCTCCGTGATAACCCCAGGAACCAATGTCCCATCCTGTGAAAAAATATTATGAATGAACATGTTCAATATGCAAAAAAATAAAGGGCTAATTACCAGGAAATCTATATAAATCAATATCATCCTCGCAAAATCCAATTCCAATTTCTCTTTTGAACAGAATATAAAGAATTATAAGCAAACTTTAAACAATTTTATATTAATTTATAAACAATGTAATATATTAAACATACTTATTGTTTCCTTCATCTATTATGTCAACCTCAAAATAAAACAACTTGCAATGTGGAGGAATTGGATGATTTGCCCGTATTGCAGCGTTTTCTCTCAAACCTATGTATTTAAAGAAAAAATTGTATTGTTCAGAGAAGTGGTCTCACTAGTGACGGGCAAATACGCATAATTATGGGCAAAGTTTTTGGATCTGGCTTATAAATTGAGCTAGTCAGCCAATATTAACAAAAATTTCTTGCTATGAAATTTGAAAAAAATTCTAATTTGCCCACCACTAAGTCCCACCTTCATAATTCACTCGAAGTCCGCTCGAATCTACGCTCAAAAAAGGAGATTTATCGCCGGGATTCCATGCAGTTGGTAAATCCATAAACTGCGTCTAGAGTAGGGTGTATTTATTATAAAATTAACGATCAAATTTTATCCTCTATATTCAAGAAAACTTTATTACGAACCTTATATTTTTTTATCTGCTAATTAATTTTGTAGTGTGAAATTTGATTTTAATAACAAGATAAAAAGAATTTAAAGACTAATAAAATTTTACAGTTGATAATTTCGGTCAACTTATGAAGGTTATATATATAGATAAGTATATATATTGCAATGTTTCATCAAACAAATAAAATATTATTTATTTATATGTTGTGATTCAAACTCACAAGCGTTAAATTAACAGCAGTAATACAAATTGACAAAAATTTTCTATCGATTAGTTACCAATTAAACGATTATTCGATTTTATTCAATTTTAATTATATAAGATTGTGAAAATTTTCAGTCGATAAGTTGTTTTTCAAAAATTTCAATCGATTAGTCGTCAATTTGTATCACTTATGATCAGCCTAAACCAATTTAGGCTGGCGATCTCATACAAAAAAAGCATAATTAGCTTACCAGTCGGAGTAATTTTTTCTGTGAATAGATATTTTTTACAAACTTGCTTTTTTTTTTTGCTAAATTTCGAATAGAACTCAGGTAAAAGAATTTCTACATAAAATATAGAAATAATGCATAAAATGATTAAAATAAATTTCTTAAATTGTATTAAAGTAGTACGTGTGAAATAGTGACGACGCAAAAATTTGACAGTCCCGTGATGTTTGCATTAATACAAAATAGAAAGATATATCTAAATTTTGTGCCGAAGGCTTTTATTAACAACAAAAGGCTAATTTCCCTTTAAATTTATGAGTTTTTTTGATTCGTCTTTAATTTTCATTTGTATGTTACACATGATCTTACAATCGGATTTGATAAAAATCACAGGACCATCAAACATCATTCCGTTCCAAGGATAGTTATTAAATGTGTAACATCAAATAATAGTTTATATGGATCACAATATGATCGTTTCACGTGACAAAATAAAAGAGCATCTGGCTTGGGAATCTCCTGGGCCCCGAAGGGCTCAGTCAGGGACATGATTTAGTGTGATCAAACGAAATCGAAATTTACAAAATTTCCTCAAGTTCTTATTGAACACTTCTCTGAATGAGAGACTTTCGAAATTCTGATTTGATTTCATGATCCATTAAATAACAAAATACATTGTTTATATTAGTACTAAGGTCAAGCGAGAAATAGCTACTACTAAGCAAGTAATTTTTTAAGATACGAGCTTCATAAGCAAAATTATGAGTTACGAGTGATTTTTGACAATTTTGAATTTTTCATCATTTTTATATTACAGTATTATATTAATGTTGCATGTATTCGTTTATGTCTCAATAGGAATGTTATCAACTTGATTCGGCCTGTATTTTTGACTATTATAAAATCGATTAATAATAGAGTCTAACAAGCTGATAACATAGTAGTATGTTAAAGTGTGAAATAAATTAATTAATAAGTATTATAAAAGTAATGAAATTTTAATCTTATTTCATGACCCAGAAAATTTAATTCAATAATAACACGCATTGTCTTAAATGTGATATCATTATAAAATCAAAATAATTAACATCTCCAACATTATTAAAATATTGTTTAACTATCTCGAGATAATTTGATGATTATATTAAATCATTTTAAATTTAAATTTACAAATTCATGATCACGATCATTTGTACCTGAAGTAGCAATATAATTACGATCTCCTGTATCTGTACCAGGAGTAGCAATATAATTACGATCTCCTGTGTCTGAGCCTGGAGTAGGAATATAATTAAGATCACCTGTATTTGTACCCGGAGTAGCAATATAATTATAGTGTTTTCTATAAAAAATATAGGCTAAGATACTTGCGAAAATAATTAAACCAAATAAGCCACTACTAAGGCTTGCGATTAAGGGAATGTTAAATTGTGGTTCATGTAATTTACTTGATGGGTTTGAAGAATTATGGTTTGTTAAATCAAACGATGTAATCCATGTATGATTTGAAGTGTCTAATATGTAAACATTGTCATTAGAACCAGTTGTCAAATTAAAACCATTAGTCGTAAAGAGGGCACCTAGAAAATAAAGTAATAAATATTTAATAAATAATCAAAGATATAACATTTCGAATGATGGTATAATTACCAAATGCCACGATCATAAAGTTTTTAACTATCTGAGCTGAATGGTAGGCAAGAGGTGGTGGTGAAAATGTGCCAGTAGATGATATTTTAGACCACCTGTAAGGTGTAACCCTCGTATCTAATGCAGCTAAAGAAGGTTCTGGAGTCGCAGTAAAATTTTCGGAGCCACCACCATAAATAATAATTGTAAAGCCATCATTGCCTGAAAATAAATAGCAATTTATTATAAGTTATGAATAGAAGGGGATGTGTCGCATACAGTTACAGTACGTACTATATGCGAAAATTTTTGTTAATCACATCATTAGAAATATCTATATGTATCAATTAACAAATATATCAAAAGTTTATACATACTCAGGACAGCAGAGTGAGATAGACGCGTTCCGATCGTTGCGCCAGTTGCTGTCTATTAATTAATATATCAACAACAAATATCTGAATAAATACGGTTTAATAATTTAATGTGCTTACCATTAAAGACCAACTTCCAGAATTCGTATCATAAATTGAAATCTAATAAGAAATAATAAAACAAATATTAAAAAAAATAATTTAAGGTTAAATGGTCATAAAATCTTAATTACTTGATTCATATCAATCTCTGCCAGTCTATAATCTAAAATCAGAGTTGTTCCATTTGGAAAGTCATGTGTTCCCCCTATATATACGATATGTCCACTTGGTAAAAGTGTGGCAGTATTGGCGGATCGAATTAGTGGGGCAACAGAGCCTTTAAGCCAAGAATTGCTCAAAGAATTAAATATGTAGGTACTATTACTCGATTTTAGGGTTATATATGGTTCAAATCCACCACTAATATATATTTTACCATTCATATCAACAACCACTTTCAAATTCTGTCTGGGCGGTGGCGTAATTCCTGATGTTGATTGTACATACCATTTTTGAGTTGTTATATCAAAGGCAAATGTAACTAAAGTAGTTGAATTAACGTTATCTGTCATATGATGTTCGAATAAATAAATGGTAGAATTTTTATTGCCACCAATACAAGCAGGTGCGAATGCGCTCTTAACAGGAATAGGCGCAACACTGGTAAGATCAGTCCATTTAAGATTTACAGAACTAAATGGTGAAGAAATATCTAAATAGAATAAATCACTAGTGCCAATGTTTGCACCATTTAAACCACCTAAGAAGTATATTTTATCTTCAACCATTACACTGTCTTGGTAAATGCGACCAGCAGGTTTAAATGCGACCATCATGGTGATAAATTGACTAAGAACCAATATTATCAGCCATAAATAATGTAAAAAAATTTTACTCATTGCTGTTTATAATGAATATGAAAAGGGGCTATGTTAATGACTGTTAAATCAAATAATTTTTATTATATCAGCAAAAGTTCGTCATAAGTCATAAGTTAAGTTTGTAACAGTTTGCTTTATTGATTATTACAGTATTAAAATCAGTGATGGAGAGATGAAATCATGAAGTGTATGATTTGCAACAAGCTCAGCTTTGAAGGAGCATAGCCAGTGATAACATTTGTATTTAATAAATTATTTATCAATTTTTGAAACGCATAACATTGTACTATATAGTAAAGATTTGACCTGCTTAGAAAATCTTAACTCAATATTATTAGATTACCGAATTTTCTGGGTAAATTATAACCATTTTGGGTAGTCATATAATAATGATTTTTATATTATATATAGGATGCATTTATGAATTTGAATTGCGTAATTAAAAAATTAATAAATGAAATTGAAAAGCGTAAGCGCAATACTCTTAATCATGTGATTGGGAAATGTAAGCTAGCCAGGGGTGTCAGAAATAAATTATCACAATTAAATGACGCTAAGTCCACAGAACATTATTTTAGCTAAGCAAATGATGAACTGCTCCTGGAAAATTAGCAAGTGAAATTGTGCCAAATATTACTGTAAGGCTTCCCGCCTGCTCGAAGAGTCTGTTAATAGAATGAAAAGGCTAGGTTGAGAAATCGACAATTATGTACAGTAAAGATAGTTGATCCCTTTTGTATCGATTAAAATCGGCTTTACCTTATGTATTTTGCTTTGCATTGATTCGGCCTTAGTTAATTTGATTAACTAATCATGGAGAGTTGTAACAACTATTTTTTTTCAATACGTTAACATAATATATTATACGTACTTGCAAACACTGTATATTATAACGTGAATAATGTGAGTTGATATTTACGAACTTGAATGTATGATTAATAAAATGTTTATAGACTTAATGTCAATTTTTACATGCACGATAAATAACATAGTGCTCACGATTACAACTGATATACGAACGAAACAAATTGAAACATATAGTTAACTCTTTTAAGTGCAAGTCGCTGGGGTATAGAAAAATTTAATTTAACCTTGCATTAGAGAGAAGTTACATTTAGAGAATGGACCAAAAGATGCCTTGCGTTTTGAGAAAATTTTATTAAGAGTTGTACTTAGAGAACATACACTTAGAGTTGACTGTACTGTAAACAGTAATTTATACGAATCTGAATTTAGGGATGTTAAGTGGTCCACGGGGAACTAGTACTTTTAGGAACTAGTTCAGAAACTAGTCCTATAATCTTGTGATCTCAAGGTCGTCTAATTGGTTAATTTATGTCGATCTAAATGCGATTACAATACAATTAAAACACAATACTCGTTCACTATTGTTCTGTACATTTAAACGGTTACGGGTTAACTTTCCGAAATCACCGAAGTCATAATACTGACATCCCATTTTTCTAACAAGACATAATTCCGAAAGTCTCTTTTTACGGAATATCATTTACAGCTATTTTCATAATTCCTGGAACGCCTGATAAAAATTGGTCGAATAATTTTTCAGCCGATTCGATTAAGTTTGCGATTTCGACATAATAGATTCAATAAAATTCACATATATATGTTATACGTTGGAACGGAATTATTGTGGATTTAGAATCCACCTAGGTTGGAACAGAATTCCAAATGTAGCCTGAGTTGATATGAAATTTAGA